CATTTCACAGGACAGAAGGCATACAGAAATGCTGGTAATAAAGTTTTGCTATTGTTTATTGTATTACAAATAAAAATATTAATGTTGTAAACCAAATTATAATAATCCCACAAATACAATGAAATCCTCCCCACTTCTAAATTAAAGCTTGGGACAAAATGATGAGCTCAAATGATAGTGTACCTCAACTCCAGGCCAAAATATTTAAGATAAAAAATTTTAAACTTAAACAGAAAATGACTATAATTGGATATAATCTATGTCAATGTCAACACTATCGTTTTATTTATCCTATAAATAAACTTTAATTTGCAAAGGCTCATTTATACCATAGCTTTTATTTTACTTTTTAAATGTATCTTTATTGTTGAAAGTATTACAGAGGTTCCCCCTTTTTTCCCCACTGACCCTTTCTCCCCTCCACCTCCCCCCACCAAGGTCTTTACACTATTATCTATGTCCAGGAGTTATGCGTATACCCATATTAAGCTCTTTGGTAAATCTCTTCCCACCCACCCTTCCATCCCTTAATCTTATAGATTTTAGGGAAGGATCGTGCAGGGTGGCGCATGTAAGGTGAAACTTTGATGCTATTTACCAAGATGAAGAATAATGGAAAGATAATTGGACTGTTTTGGTGTTTCTCAATGTGTGTATGAAGAAGCTTTGCTCCCTCAGGTCAAGAACCTTCTCTTCATGTAGATTTAACTGCTTTATAAACAAACAAACAAATAATTTTTTTTTGGAATCAACAAAGATTTTTTGAATGTATACTTTGAGCGATACATCTTAAAGACACTACATTGAACAACTTAAGCAAGTCCAAAAAAGGTGAAACCCTAACATGTGATAAGGATTTATTTATGACATAGACTCTTCTTGAGAAAAATAAACATTTTTTTGTGCCATTGATATTTATAATTCTCACAAACATCCTAATTATCAAACTGTATCCCTGCAAGACAACCAATGGGAGGAGAGCTTTAAAGAAAATTGAAGAAGGGGTCAATGGGGGGGGGGGGAAATGGGTCATATGTAATACTTTTAACAATAAAGATTTTTAAAAATAAAGAAAATTGAGGGAAAGCACAGCAGGGCTTTTAGCTGCACAGGAGCCTTTCCAAGGTCAGACAGCCAGAACGGACTCTCAATAATTGAATTTTCCTTTCGGTTCATAAGCATGACACTCGGGGGCTTTTAACAACATCAAAGTACCCAGTTGCAGAAAATAACTGTTCAAACAACAACAAATGAGGTCAGAAGGATCATCAGATTTATTGCCAATGTGGAAAAAAACACACGATTTTCAGAGATGCCTTAATTAATAAAAAGGAAGGTAATTCTTTGAAAGCCCAGCGGTGGAGAGTAATTCGCCAATAAGCTTGACTTTTCCCTGCCCACACTTTTAGCCCTTATTAAAAGCTGAACTGCTTTAGAATAGTACATCTAGCAGACTTGGTTTTGCTAATCCACCCAATTAATGAAAGCCTGTACAGCACAGCATTCTTTATTACTTCTTAATCTTTTTTATTTCTTTTGCCTCCTCCCTTCAACAGAACATGTTTCAGCACCAGTCCTGAGTCTGTTCCCTCCTCAACCACTCAATAAAAAGGCCTGGAAGGTGACAGTCAAGTTTACTCCCTGCCAGGCCAAGCATAAAAACATAATCTTGGGAAGTGATGTAGAACTCGAGAAACAAGAGTGGAACCAACAGTGCCCATCCTCAGTCCCAAACGGGCTACCCCAGCACCAGCAGAGATGCTCTGAAGGCTTCTCATCTGGTGCAAGAGATCCATTCAAAGGCAGGACACAGGCACTCCATCCATCTATCTACCTATCCAATAAAAACCTACTAAACTTCTACGTTTTACCTGGCTCAAGAGAGTCAGACTGAAATAGTTTCTGCTCTCACAAAGCTTCCTTTTTCTACCTCTTCTTCCTTTCCATCAATCTTACCAGGTTACGTTTTCTGTTGAACAACACCAGGATTAATTTGTATATCCATTCACTAGGAATTAGACCTAAATCCCTTGGCCATTCCATTTAAGCCACCAGCTAGACATCAGCCCAGTAACTGGCCGCACTCCAAATTTAACACACAGGTAGCCTCAGGGTAAGGACTTGGATACCCATTTTCAGAAATAGCTATCAGATGGAAATCACTCATGTCTGACCTCACATCTACTGGAAACTATTAACAGTTGGGCAATTTTTTTCTTCGTGGGCTCCATAAGTAGACTTATGGTTACAAATAGCTTCACTTGTAACAAGATGTGCTGAGCCCAGAGGGAAGATTTCAGGAGGTTTCAGGCCTAGACTGCTTGAATAGGACATTGAGAAAATGACTAACTTACTGTATCCATTCAGTCCATTAAGGGGATAAGAAAATATATGACCAAAATATTGAAAAAGATGGACTAGAATGAAAAGACCCATGAGGTTAAGTGTGAGGAGCTGGAACGCACTTGAATTGAATTCTCAGTTCCAGCGCTAAATGCATTTATGAACAATGTTTTAAGCCTCTAAACATGTTCAAACTTCCATTTTAGTTTCCTCTTTTGAAAGATTAGACATAATAATTGCACAAACATCCTAAAATGATTATGAAGATAAAATGAAATAATTTACATTAAGCATTAGTGCCCAATAAAGATTAAAAAACAAAACAAACAAAAACATCTACCACCCATAGTAAAATTTCCTTTATAAGAAATAAGGTCATATAAGTTTTATTCTAATCTTCTTTACTAAGATATTGTAAAGATTGGTAGAATAAATAAGAGGAAAAATACTTTGAATTCCTTCAAAACCTGTAGTATATGTTTATAAAACATTATCAGTATTACAGAAGCAAATTTATTAGTAGTACATCCAGATGAATGTTGGGGCTCTGGCCACTGGTTTCATTACCCCAATTCATTGGCCTATAAACCACTAGTTCACCTGATGGACAGGTAAGCACAGCATGACAGGGGATGAGAGATGGCAGGGGAAGGAGGGATAGACACCATAAATTGCAACATGACTCTCAATATAACACCACAAGGATTCTCAAGTTCTGTGCTTATGCCTTACTTATATAGTAAAACTCTATTTTTCTTTCTTTCTTTTTTTTGTATACTGAAAGCAGCAAAAATCCTAGAAATACCCTTCAACCTTAGGACTTCAACCTTGCACACAAATTACTGTGCAGGACACTGAACTGAGCTCCACACATGGAGACTGAAGCCACAATAAGGAAGGCAGCTGCTAGGGTTGCACTGAAGTCTTGTAACAATCTTTGAAAAGAAACCACAAAAGAAAGAAAGGAAACTTTCTGTGTCTGTATAGACTTCATCTCTTCAGAACTAAACCTCATTTCCCAGGGCGATTGTGAGAGGGTGATAATTAGGATTAGCTACAAGGTGGCTATCTGCCAACTCTGTCTCATAATCAGCCTTCAGTTACTCCCATCTATCTCACCATCCCTGTTTTCAGCATCTGAAAATGAGACAAGAGCCTGAGAAACTAGAGAGCAGACAATCTTAGATTCAGATATTCACCTTCATGAGGATCAATCACAAATTTTGAGTGATCACTGGTGAGAAAGTGACAAGTGATCAATCTCCTTAGCTGATCACTAATGACCTTTCATTAGGTACCAATATTTGGAATGAAAAGTTTCAAAAAGTTATGTATCTCAGTCTACCATTATGGAAAGGGCCATTCTTTTTATAAGAGAAAATAGCTTCTAATGAAGTATCATCAAGTAATAAATGGTTTAGAAAATATTTTTCAATAGATCTCTTAGATTTAGCTCACTATTTCCCTAAAATATGATAGCTATCCCAAGAATCCTATATAATAAAACCCTAATATGCAAATCGACCAAATGGTGAAACGACTGGCCGCTATGACAAGCACTGACCACCAGGGGGCAGACGCTCAATGCAGGAGCTACCCCCTGGTGGTCAGTGTGCTCCCACCGGGGGAGCACTGCTCAGCCAGAAGCTGGGCTCACAGCTGGCGAGCACAGCAGTAGTGGCAGGAGCCTCTCCCACCTCCGAGGCAGCACTAAGGAGCAGTCAGCCTGGCTCACGGCCGTTGAGTGCAGTGGTGGTGGTGGAAGCCTTGCCAGCGTAGGCCTGCTCAGCGGCCCTAGGCCAGCAGGCGGACATCCACCGAGGGGTCCCAGACTGTGAGAGGGAGCAGGCCAGGCTGAGGACCACCCCTCCCCCCCGCCCGAGTGCATGAATTTCGTGCACCAGGCCTCTAGTATTTTATGAAAGACATGAATGAAATTTTATAAAATGGTTACATATTAATTTTAACATTATAGAAAAAAGTATAATTGTACATTAAGCCCATGATTTCACAACTATTGTTTATTAGGATGAGGGCACAGTAAAATAGGAAGTTGATTCAAAGTAAATAACAGGGCAGGTGCTTTCACATATGGCAGAAACATGCAGAAATAGCACAGGAATGACTCAGGCTGAGAAACACTGCTTCTACCCCATAGGCCAATGATTCCTATCATAACTAAGAAAGAGTTCCCACTCCTGCTTCTGTGGGCTAACAGAATAGCTGAACTCATCCTTTTTGATGCATTATGAGACCTGGACTATGAGCTTCACATATTTCACGAACTGTTTTAGAAGAGCAGACAAGAACAGGGGTGCATTCGATTATGATCATGCTTAGGCAGGAGACAAAAGGATCCGTGGACAATGAAGCACTTTTATGGAAGCAAGTCAACATAAAGATTTAAAAGTTTACCTTTTGTAGAGAGAATGGGGCCAGGTTTTTCAAATCAAAGGTGCTCCTAACAAAATATATACTGCTCCTGGGATTGGGTAATATGTTCTCTTCATCTTTGAATGTCCTAAGTATCCCCATAATAGGTGCTTAACAAATGAAATAAATAACCACCCATATCTTTATGAAATTAAAAAATGATATCATCAACAAAACTTAACATCTAGGAGAAAGGAAATTGTATCTTTGGGAATGACACGTACCTTGGGCACAATCTTCACGTGGAACAGTATATTTTGGAAAGAGTATCCATCATTGGCTTGCAAGACTGCAACATCAGATGTGCTATCCAAACCATCGTGAGCGTAGTAGAGAAGGCCCCTGGAGACTTCATCCAGCCGGAACTGATAGACAGGGGTTGCAGAGGACTGAAGTGTTTGAAGCAATTGGCCATGAAGTGGAGGATCCAGCACTTCAACTATCACATCCTGTGGATTGTCATCATCTCGGATGTCAAGCAGCTGGGTGGTGATGGTTCCCCTCTCTCCTCTGCTAATGTGGAGAGCCTCATTTCTCAGTACATAGGGGGGCTGTGGAATGAAGGAGAAGAAGAGAAAGAAAACATTGAGCAGGAAAAGAGAGGACCACCCAGTGGGCTAGATATCAGTTGTGTGCAACCTAATTGATATTTTGATGCTTTTTACAGAACTTTAGATGTCCTAGCAAAGTGCCAAACTATTGCATATTCACAGTATTTGTCAAAGATAGGGTTGGTCATAGGAATCACAGCAAATAAGGTTCACATCTCTGATTCTGGAGGCATCTCTAGCCACTTCAGGACTACAGTATTCATCAGAGGCCACTAAGGAGAACTGCTTGCTTCTAAATCTTTGAAGTCTCTGCTGTCTTGAGTTATACCACATCCCCTTCACTGTAACTGTGATCAGATCAGGGTCAGGCAACCCGGTCAGTTGTCTGCATCCAAGAGATG